CACACCTTGGGCCGTGCGGGGGCAAAGCCACTCCTCCGTGCCGTGACATCAAGCCCTTGGAAGAGCGGCCCGGCGAAGGGTCAAATTCCCGGCGCAGGTAGCGCCCGGCTGCACTTCCGCGCCGCGCCGGGCAAGGACCCACCCCACGCGGGGGACCCCCGTCCCGGGGGGGACCCCCCGAGCCCGGGGAGCCCCGCCATGAAGTCGGAGCAGGAGGAGAACAAGCCCGGGAGCTGCCGCTGCGAGCAGGGCTCCGCTCCGCGCCCGGCCCATTGTCCCCGCGGGCGGCGAGGGGCGGCCGGCGACGATGCTCGGGGCAGGGTGCTGTGCCCCTGCTTAGCCCACGCAGGTAACGGGGGTCTCCCCCGGGGTGGGGGGGAGGACGCAGCCCGGCGTGCACGGCTTCCCCCCTCCTCGCTCGCTTTTGTGCTCGGAGCTCGCTTCCTCCTGGGAGAAACAAAAACAACGCCCGGGAGCTGCCCCGGGGGCCGCGGGGAGGTGGCGTGGGGGGGGGGTGGCCGTGCTGTCCCCACGCCCCGTGGCGAGCCAGGGGTAGGGGCGAGGGGCTTCGTGCCCCCTGTGGCCGTGGGGAGGGTCGGGGTGAGGGGGGCGGGTCCCGGTGCCCCGTTGTCCATTTTGTGTGGCGGAGAAGTTGGAGCGAGCCGGGAGCTGGCGGAGGGTTCCCCGCCGGCTGCGGGGGCTGCTTGCGGGGGTCTTAGCCCACCAGCCGGTGGTTTTGTATGGTGTGTGCTTCTGGAAGCCTTTCACAACCCCCAGCCTGGCCCCGAACCCCTGCGCCCCCCAAACCTCGCTGTTCCCTCCCACCCCCTACACCCCCTTCCTGCCGGCACAGGGGGTTTATATCGGGTTTTATTACATCCCACCGGCATGTGGCCAGGGCAGATGAGAGAGAAGGAGTCTGTGTAGTGGAAATAATCATGATTTTTGGAGGTGGGGAGTGCCAGGAAACCGGGGGTGACTTGGCAAGCGGGTGGTCTCTGCGTGTCCTGTCCCATCGGTGCGAGCACCAGTTGATGGTGCGTGGTCCGGGCTCGTGTATGGGGGTCCTGTCCCCGAGCTGTGACCATGTGGAAGCACCAAGGCCGAGCTGGTGTCTAACAGGAAGTGCTCCGAAATGGTGTTTGCAAGGATTTGCTCTCACTGGGTGGGAAGCTTTAACCCAGAATTGTTAAGGAGTGTCAGTACCCGTGTCCAGGTGTGACAGCTCGCTCTCTTGCAGCATCGCGGCAGCAGCAGGGGGTGGTATTTAAAGCTTCTTTAAAAGGAAAAGACAGATGCGTGGAGCCAAAATCCACGTTTTTAGCCCAAGAAGCTCTGCTGAGCGCCCTGGTGCCCCTCCAGAAGGGAGCACTGGTGGCCAACAGCTCCTCTGAAGTCGTAGGGCACCTCTGTGATGCAGGAGATGTTACAGGGGTTGCACAGCAGCAGGACTGCACTGAAGTGGTGATGGACACATTTCCGGCCCTTGTGCTTATCCCCTTCTCTTCTTAACCTTTTCTTGGGGGGAATTGGGTGCCTACTGTAATTCCTGACCACCCAGGGGAGAAGGAGGCATTGCCTCACGTGGACAAGCCCCATCAGTCGTTCCAACCCCTTCCAAATCTGCTGCAAGCAGGCAGCAATGAAATTAATGCAATTTAAACATTTCCCAGACTAATTTATGAAAACTACCATTCCCACCGAAATAATTGGCTGTTAATTATATTTCACTTGATAGCATTAAACTTCCATGACACTGCTGGATTCTGCATCCTTTTTGCTTCAACCACTGATAGGTGTTAACAGACAACGCAAATCAGATTTTTTTGGAGTTTTTGTAGTTGTGGTGAACACCTCCAGACAGCATTTGGGGCCGAAGTTTCCACTCCTGCCCCTGCAGATCCCGTCTTGGCCTCCTCTGGGCAGCAGATCCACTCTCTGTGCAGCAGCAAAGCTTTTTACTGGCCTTGGAACAGGCATCACTTTAAAGACATCCATTTAAAAGCTTTTTTTTTTTTCTCTGTGTAACTCAGCTGACACGATTGCTGCACACGGAGGGGATGTGTTAGAGATGGATGCAGTGCAAACGACAAGGCTCCTGTTGGTGAATTACTGTCTCAGGTGAAAGCTGCATTTTGTGCTGCTTTCATGAGTTTACCAGTGAGATGGTTTTTGCTTTGCTGGGCCATGAGTCGAGGGGGGTGATTTTATCCAGGATGTCAGCAGGATAAATATACCTCTACATACACCTCTGTCTTGGGATAGGAAACAGAAATGTCATAAAGAACATTATTAGAAGAAAATAAGGATTCAAGACCTAGAGATGAGTTGAGTTTTGATTTTAAAGAGAAGCTGTGGCTGCCCCATCCCTGGAGGTGTCCAAGGCCTGGTAGGATGGGGCTTGGGGAGCAACCTGATCTACTGGGAAGTGTCCCTGCCCATGACAGGGGGTGGAACTGGATGAGGTTTAAGGTCCCTTCCAACCCAAACCATTCTGAGATTCTATGACATTGGTAGCGGCCCTGGGAGGGAGTTAGGAAGAGGAACTTTCCTTTCAAACTTTGGCTACGTGGATTGTAGTTTCCAATTTTATATACATAGAAAGATATATATGTGTATTCAAAACTGATTTGGCTTTGCCTTATATATAATACAGATAGATAGCAAATATAACTATATAATGCAAAGCATTATCCATTTTTGTACAGATATGTATATCTCAAATTATATCTATAAAAGAGTAAGAATTTTGGATATATGGGTGATCTCAGGTTCAATAATTCAAGTCCTCCTTAGACTCTGGCTTGCAGCTGGTGGCATGGGGAGTGTGGTGCCTCATGCTCCTCTCAAGATTGCATCTACAACTTCCCATAGATCTTGGATTTTAATTCTTCAGCAGTTTCTACTGGGATTGGGAGCTGAGCACTAAGTTGGGGATGAAATTCCCTTGTTGCCTGCTTTGGAGGATGGATGCTTTGGGGTTTCTTCACTGTTTTCTAACTGGGACCAGAGAGGAATGGTGCAGTTTTGGGGGACTGCACTGTAGAGTGTGTCATAGCAAGGAGTTCTGGGGCCCAAGGACCCCTCTGGGATTCTCTGCTGCAGAATTCCCCCCTGGACTGCCTGTTCTTGGTCTTGTTTCCACTCTTCCTTCCCCTGAGGGGTCCCTGCCACGTGGGGATTTTCTTGGTTCCCACCAAAATGCTGCAGTTTCCAGGAATTCGTTGAGATTGGTGCAAGCTGCCCTGCCCCATCCTCCTCTGCTGGTTGATTTTTTCCTGGGAATACCCCTCTGTGTCTCTTGGGAGAAGTGACATGTAAGGAAAGGTGAAAATGAGTTACCAGTGGGGGAAAAAAAATGAGCAATTTGTTGCAGCCAGGGATGTTTTGTGGGACTTTCTGTGGCCGGGGAAGGCACGGGGTGTGTTTTACACAGTCAATATTCCACAGTTTACAAGCCCTTCACATCCTCTCCGGGTTCCCAGAGGCTGGAGGGGACGTTTCTGCCATCCCTGGGAAAGATCCTGTTGGCCTTGGCCGCCTCTTGTTCTTGCTGTTTTGCACGGATTTCAAGAAAGCACTTTGGGCTGCACCAAACCCCCCGGCCCGGGGCTCGACTGTTCCTCGTTAGTGACTTTATTGCTGAATAATTTACAGAATGGGGCCTTGCCAGTTTTCATTCGGGAAGCATTTCAAGTATGTGAACCAGATTTTATGCCTTCCTGGCGCAGCTGCCGGGGAGGAGCCGCCTCTCCCTGTCCTGCCTCCGGCGTCACCTCCCGGCCTCGGTGCCGGAAAGGAAGCGGGCAGCGCACGTGTGGAGGGACCCGAGCGAAAACAGGGGGGAAAACCCCAATATTCCATGCCCAGTTGGTGTCCCCCGGGCTGGCTGCTACAGAGGGACGCTGGGGAGAGGACCCAGTTGCGGTAGCTTGGAGAGGGGGTGTTGGTTTTAACTTTTATTTCGTTTTTCTGGTAACTGCGGACTGGGTGGGCGGGATGCAGACCTGAGAGGATGTGGATGTCCCGTCCCTGGAGGTGTCCAAGGACAGGTTGGATAGTGCTTGGAGCAACCTGGTCTAGTGGAAGATGTCCTTGCCCATGGCAGGAGGGTTGGACATGATTGTCTTAAAGGTTTTTAAGGTCCCTTCCAAGCCAAACCGTTCAATGATTTTGTGAAATCAAAAAGCTACTTTGGGATAAGGGCTTTTCTCTGCCTGTTTTTAAAGGGGAAGGAAAGCAAACCAAACTCAGCTGGAGAACTGCAGTGGTGCACACACAGCCCCAAAGTGTTTGGCAGGATGAGGGCAATGGGTACAGTGTAGAAATGGCATTATTATTATTATTATTACATTAAACAGTGGATGTGGCTGTAGGAAAAGAGGTGTCTGGAGCTTTCCCCCAGCGCCTGTTGTGGAGGGGATCCAGGCTGGGCTCTGCTGGGATGCTCCTGCACTGCAGCTGCTCAGAGTGAGCAATCACTGGAAGTAAATCTGCAAAATTCAGGGTTCAGGTCTGCAGGTGGAAGTGTCTTCTTCCCTTTTCCTGTCTCGTAATGGGTTTGTTGGGTTTTGTGGAGTGTGCTCTGAGCACGTGGGTGGCTGCAGGCAGACCTGAGGTGTGTGGGACTTACTGGAGCTCGGGAGGCTCTGCTGGATCCTGGCCGTGTGAGCACCCTGCCAGCGAGTGGCTTGTATGGGAAAGCACTCCTTTGTTTATTATTCTCGCATTAACATTTATTTTTAATTTTTTAACGCAAAAGCAGCACCCAGTGGAGACTTCCCCGTCCCTCTCCCGGCGCCTTCCCCGTGTCGTCCCTCGCCCTCCTTTCTCTGTTCCCAGAACAGGGCAGGGTTTGGACTCTGTGCAGAGCAGTTTTTGCCGGTGGGGAGGGGTCACCCCAGCAGCGTTTCCCTGGGTTTGGAGTTTCCCAGCGGGGGCGGGGGGCCGTGCCGGGAGCCGTCACTCACTTCCTCGCATTGTGTCTCCTCTTCCTCCAGCGCTGCTGCGGGAGGAGGTGGCCCAGCTGCAGGAGGAGGTCCACCTGCTCCGGCAAATGAAGGAAATGCTGACCAAGGACCTGGAGGAGACACACGGCAGCAAGTCCCCGGAGGTGCTCTCGGCCACCGAGCTGAAGGTGCAGCTGGCACAGAAGGAGCAGGAGCTGGCACGTGCCAAGGAGGCTCTGCAGGGTAAGGCTCAGCCGCGCCTCCTTCTTCTCCTGCGCCCCTCCCCAGCACCCGGAACTTCCAAAGAGTTGATTTGTGAGGGATGGGAAAGCCATCCTTTTCATTTAGGCTGTGCAGAGGGCCCTCACCATGTGCACGTGGTCTCACTGGGACCCCCCTGATCTGCTGCCCCTTCCCCTCCCCAAGAGGGGGCTGGGGTGCAGTGATGGGCTGGGAAATGGGGTGTGGGGGCTGTTTGCAGCATTGCAAAGGAATTCCTCCACAGCTGTAGAGTAGAGCCAAGGCAGCAGCTGAAATGCAGCTGGAGGTTGGGGGTGGGTTGGATTTGAGCCCCTCAGACTTGTTAGGAGGGAAGCAGCGAGTTTCCTGGTGACTGCAGTTTTCCTTATCCCTCTTGGAGTTCCCTCCAGGTGATGTGCAGGGTCTCCTCCTTCCTCCATGCCTTGTTTGTTGCAGCCAGGGCCATGCTCTCCCTCCCTCACCAGCACAGCAAGCCCCCAGGACCGGGCTGTGCGGGGCAAAACGCAACATTGCAGCTTTTCCGCCCCAAAAAACGAGCCGGCAATAAATCCGTGCAGGACGGTTTGTTAGCTGGAGCCGGGGGATGATCCTGAGCGGGGAAAGCTCTCACACGTCAAACCCTGGCAGCGCCGCGGCTCTAAATATCATCTCAAATCCCCAGCATACCGAGTATAACTTGCACTTGTCAGCTCATGTTTGCGGATTATGAGGAGAAGCTGTCAGAAGTTTTCAGGCTCAGAGGCTGAGCGGCACGTGGGGAGCTCAGGGGGCCACCACGTCTCCCCCTGTCCGGGATGCCGGGACGCTCAGAGGGGCAGGGGATTGGGCTGAGTCAGTGTTTGGGGAAGGGAGTTCAGGAAATTTTATGTGATCACTGTGTCTGATTTACAAAAGCATCCCCCATGTATCGGTAGCAGCCAAAATGCCTTCAAAATCCTGCCTCCCCCGACGCCACCGGTGCAGCCTCCGGCAGCAGGAAATGCTCTGGGTTTATAGAACTGTAATTGGAGGAGAAAAACCTTAATTAGGGAGTATTTGCTCTGTGTGTGTGGAAGGGGAACTGCTGATTAATGCAAAATGCAGAAAAGCAGAGCTGTTGTTATACATGTGCAAAAAGAAAAAAGAGCAAGAAGTCATCTAAGAAGCTGCGGTGAGGTCACACGAGCTTCTGTGGAGGAGAAAAAGTTAATTTGGCTTGGAAATCGTGATTATTTAAATATTTAAATAATATAATGTTGGGGTTTTTATTGGGCTTTTCTTTGCCACTGTTGGAGCCCCTGGGGTTGGTTTTCCAGGACTTCTCTGCAGGTGTGGTGGCTAGGGAGAGGGAATGTAAGTTGGCACTTGGAAAGGCACATAATTTGAAGCCTTTTTCAATCGATGCTTCTTCCCTCCTCTGCAATATTGGGAAGCTTTTGAGTCATTTGGAAAAGCTGGCTGGGCTGGATCTGGGCAGCAAAGCAGGCTTGGCACGGCGACCGAGACGGATAAAGTGAAAACGGGATCAGCAGCTGGAGGGGAAAAAAAAGTCCTTTTTTCCTTTCCATGAAAAATTGTCCGTAGAGAAACGTAGCCAAAAGGGGAGGAAAAACCGGCGCCTGGTGACTGGTCCTGCCAGGAGAAATGCATCTGCTGATGGACACGCTGGGGAAGGGGTGGCTCTGTGTTATAAGGAACTGCGGGATAAGGCAGAGCCAGGAGCGCTGGGAGACTTGGCCGTGCTGTCCTGTAGTTCAGGGATCTGTGACAGTCGTGTTCTGCAGGCAGAAAGCATCTCCCAGGAGCAGCTTCCTCCTCACAGCCTGCCTCCCTTCCTGCCTGCATCCCTGCACAGCCCTGTGCCCAGCAGCGTTGGCCACGCCGTCCCTGCGCCTTCAGCGTCCCGCGATCCACGTTGGGTCCTGCGGAATGTCATTAGCAGATAAATTATATGGAAAGCTGTCATCGTCGCTGGCTCGGAGCCTGGAAGTGCAGCGCAGCTGGTTCAGATGGATCTTGGCTCTCCAGGCCGCGCTGCGGAGGGAAGCAGGGAGGGTTTGCCGGTGGGGTTTGCCAGTGGGGGCTGCAGCACCTTCTAGGAGCGTTTATTTTGCGTGGCCTCACTGGGTTTTGGGTTGTGATGGTCTGGGTGGAGGGTCCCCTCTTGGAGGGGCATTCCCAGCCCTTTCCAACAGCATTTGGCACAGGGATAGAGCTGATCAGCCCGTGCAGCATCTTCCCTGTGCCGTGCCAACAAGCCCGTGCCGTGGAGGGAGGGAGCAGGGATCTGGCCCAGCACAGGATGCTCTGCAGGATTAATTTGACCAGTTTCTGCATCCCTGGCAGCATGTGCTGTATCCATCATTATTCCACTTTTTCCTGGGCTAATTCCAGCCCTTGCACTTTTTTTTAAAATCAATTAACATCCAATTAAAATTCCATAGTGCCACATCCTATCTCCCTCTCCGCCTTTGCCAGGACTGGGACTCTGGATCATGCTTCCAGCATCAATGCAGTTATTATTATTTGCCCAGCCCTGGCTGGAGAGGTATGGATGTGGTGTGGATTTCTGATGTGGGAATCCTCGGGGGAAAAAAGCTGCAGACAGCTTTATTACTGCTGGTCCTGCTGTGGGCAGGGATGGGGCCTGAGCGCCTGGGGGGCTCCAAGAGGAGCCTCTTGGCCAGGTGACATCCAGGAGCATGTGGGCTAATGGCAGAAACCCCATTTCTAGGAAGGTTCATCCCATATGCTGGACCTCGCCTGCGGGATTATCATGTGGAGAGCAAACCTGGTTTCTGTTTCCTTTCCGAGTGCCAAGGTGGAAACCTCAGGCTGCCTTTCCCTGCTGCTCGGGAAGGTGTGAACCAGCCTTGTGTCTGCTCCACAAATGGGTTGTAGCCTGGTCTCCTCCTTCCCAAACCTGCAGCTTGGAGCTGTGACCTTCCCAAGGATGGTGTGTTTGGGTTGGGAAGAACCTCCTGGAGAAACTCACAGCACCCTCAGGTTGCTGCAGTGATGGGGTGGGTAGCAGAGAAATGGGTGGATGGGTGACCCAGAAGATGAGTGTCCTGGTGGATGGGTATCCCAGAAAATGGGTGACCTGGAAGACAGGTGTCCCAGTGAATGGATGTTCTGACAGATGGATGTTGCAGCCATGGACCCAACCAGGGAATCCCTTTCCATCATAGGGACATGGAGCTCTCTACAGAAAACCTGTTGTTCACCTTTGAGGCCCCCACCTTAAATTTTCAGAGGTCACTGATCACCTTGTTGCCCGTTGGGGTCAGGTTTGGAAAGCCCTTGGCCTCGTAGCAGGGTGTTTCCAGGTAAATTCCCCCAAGGTAAAATGCCTCTCCTAACTTTTTCCTGAAATTCGACTTTGGACTCCAATTTCCTGCCTGCACAGTGCCTCTGCACCCCCAGGAGTGACCGCTGGCTCTGCCTGACGCCACGTAACGTTGACGTCTGCAACGTCAAGATCTTCCCGATGTGACGGCTGCGCCCGCGAGGCGAACGCGCCGATTTAATTACAAAGCAAGGAACAGCTCTGAGATCCCTGCACAGGGCTGACCGATTTTATGGGTTAGTCATGGTGACAGTATTGAATTTCATGGTTGGGAGGGAGAAACAGGAGAAATTAAGTAAATGTTAATGGGACAGGATGGGTTTACACGGGGCATCGCTGAGGTTTGAGCGGTGCTCCCTGAGGATGCCCTTCCCTGCCTTGGAAAATTCAGGGTATGATTCAGTAAGCAACAAAGGAAGCTCTGATTCTGCTCCTGGCATGAAAATTCACATTGTGTGAGGCCAGAGAAGGCCTTGGAAGTGAATGGGAGTCATGGGAAGCTGCTCTTTGGAGTGTCAGAGGTGGGCTGCGTCTGCTGCCAGTGCCCTGATGCTCTGCTGCCTCATTCCGGGAATGTGAAGCTGGGCAGAGATGATGTTTCTATGTTTTTCATCTAATATCGTGTTATCAAGGTAGTAAAACTAATTATTATGTCCTCCAAAAGCTCATCTGGATGGTGTGGTCTCCACCACCTGCCAGGGCCAGGAGTTGGACTTCAGTGATCCGTGCGGGTCCCTTCCCACTCAGGATATTCTGTAATTTATTTTCCCTTAATTTGATATGATTGATTTCAAAGGGGAGGGGTGGTAATTACAGCAGCCCCTCTCCTGAGGGGAGGTGCCTGCTTTTGGGATGCAGGAGCCAGTTCACAGCTGGAAGTTGTTAGATGTGAGGCCAGACTGGGGCCACGTAGTGGTAACAACTGTTGGTGGTGGCATCACTGGGTGGTTCCATCCGTGCTGCTGCTGCCCCAGGCAAGGCTGTGCCTCTCCTGTGGAGCAGCTGGGTTTTGGCTCATCACATAGAGCTGGAAATAAAAGGCGTGGAGTGGGTGGATTTTTAATTGTTTTGGCAGCAGGAAGGGCCCAGCGCGGAGCCGGTCCCGTTACATCTCTGTGCCCATCATCCTCCTCCCAGAGGACCCAGTGCTCAGGGGAGGGATCGTGTGGCAGGAGGTGGAAGCTCAAATAACACTTGTGCAGGTGGGGATGGGGGCTGGCAGTGAGAGCTGAGGGGGTTCACCCTGCTGCTCCCAACCCATCTCCCCCATCCCTTGCTGCCGAGGCTGGCGCTGAGCTGCCCAGTCCAGGGGGGGGCTGGTGGGTCCCCCCCCCCCCGCTCCTTCTGCCACATGCTTTGGGTGGGAGGGGAAAATAAATAATGCAAATAAGAGAATTACTTTCCACTCACGCTCTGGGTTTAGGATTTCTTGCTTCTTTGTCTTATGAACAGGTCAGAGGTCTGGCCGGAGAGTCCCCCGCGCCGATGAGCTGGGCGAGAGCTTAGTTGGGATACTCAGGGTGGGGGGTGGGATATAGAAAGCTCGCCCTGGATCATCAGATTAAAGGAAAAAGCCATTTCACCTCCTTGGATGGCCCAGATAGCCAGTGAAAATCTGCTTTATTCCTCTTTGGCTGGCCCTGCCGTCGCGCCGTGGATTGCAAAGGCTCGTTTTCCCCGACCGAGTAATTAGCTGGGTTTGTTTGCTGAGGAGGAATTAAACTGCTGCAGCAAGTGGGGTTTGGTCCAGGAGCTCCTGGCAGCGCTCACAGCTCACTTCTGCCTCACTTTTTATTTTTTCTCCTGCCTTTTTCAATTAATTTCCCATTAATTTGGTTTGGAATGAAGTTCTCAAATGACTGATAAATCTTCTTTAAGCTTAGGAGCTAATCGGTTTTGGAGGAGGGAGAGTAATAGAGGGGAGGGGAAAAAAAAGTGTGTTAATTTTAGCAAATCTCTCAAATATGAACTGAAACAAATGGTAAATTGTCCTGTTGGGTTAACAGAAAAAAATCTGCTCTTGCAATACCCAAACTTCATAATCTTCTTGCAGTGCTGATGCATTGGCATAAATATTGGTTGATATTAGTAAAGTGATACATATTCAACCTTGGGAGAAAGTTACCCTTCTCCTAATAGTACTTATGAGCATCTTTATTTGTTTTATGGGTGAGTGATGAAGTGTTTTCTGTAAATCTTTAAAGGTCCTGAATGTTGCCAGTAATTAAAGAGGTTTCTATGCTATGGGGGACTCACTATTTAATTAAATTCATTAGGAGTCTTTTGTCACCTCCAGCATCAAAGAGTGCCTAATGTGACTTAAACTTTTATAAGAGCCTCTCATTATCCTTGAGGAAATTAAATATATGTGTATATGTGTCTGTGGGGTCTGGATCTCACCCCAGTATGGCTCAGTCAACTTATCATTAATTTTTCTTTTTCAGCAAGGTTTTAGTTCCAGTGAAAGAACTGGGCAGAGAAAGGTTGTGGTTAAATACACACAGGCAGCAGGAAAGGCCTCTTTCGAAGACTTAGATGTGGTTGTGATTGTTTTTAGAGGGTTTCTGTAGTGATTTCTTAAGCTGGGAAAAAAAGTAAGAGAAGTCCCGGTGTTGGAAGGGGCTGAGTTGTCCCAGGAGGAGTTGTGTTCATTGAAGTGAGTGAAGAAGACTCCCAAGAGCTCCCTGTTACGGAACAATATGGATTTTTGTGGCATTTCCTACCTGGTTTTCTGTTTTTCTGTGTTTTGTTTTACCTCTGATGCTTAATGGCAGTTTGTCTGAAGAGTTTCATCCCTTAGTTTTTAACAGATAAAAATCCCCATTGTCCCAAGCATCTCCCACTTCTTCCACTATTTAGTCTAATTTAGTTTTCCCCACCTTTTTATCCTCTGATCTGCAAGGCCCCTCCCTTCCTCATGGTTCCATCCTGAGCACTTTCTTTATCCTCAGCACACACTTACAGTAAAAAAAAACAGTAAAATAAGTAGAGTAAAACCTGTGCACAGAAATAAGTTCCTACCTGAGTGAAGCCCTCTCTGAGCCGGTGATTGTGACAAGCTGGGGTGGGATGCAGGAGGTGCACAGAGCTGTGAGGGGGCTTTAATTCTGGGGGCTATTCCAGCACATTTCGGGGCTGGGTGATCACTCTTACCAGGTTATTCTGCCTGAGGGTGCCTGGGGGCTGCAGTGCATGTCTGGTAACGATGCTCTCCCTGCTTGCACACAGGTGGAGATGACTTACTGAGGGTCCCCAGGCAGAGGAGGGTGGGAGCAGAACACCCCTGTGCTGGGACGAGGCAGAGGCACCAAACCAAGGGTGCCGAAGGTGCCTGAGGCAAATGAATCCCTTTGAAGCATGACACGATCACAGTTTCCCCGTATTTCGTGTAAATTGTCTTTATGTCACACGGGCCTCACTAGGGGAGGCACGTTGTGGTGTAGTTTAAGCCCCCAGTGAAGTGACTCATCACAGGGTGTAGAAAACACAGCATGGGCTGAAACGCCCACCCTGGATTTCTGTAATCTAGTGGAAAAAGGTGGGATGTGTGCATAGAGACGGGTCCCACTCGTGATGGCTGCATCATCTTCTAGTGGTTTTTGTAGTACAAGCAGCTCCTGGAGCTTAGGGGCTGGTTTTTCTGGTGAGTTCAAGGGGGTTTAGGATATTTATTTTTTTTAATATAGAGGGATAACTTGCAAGACTCAGCTGAGCGAATGCAGGGAGTGATGGAGGGGCAGAGCATGTTTCATACCATCCTGCTCCCCTGGGAACAGCACTTCCTCAGGGTGGAAAAGCATGAATGTGTAATAAAAAGCAATATTTGTATTCTGATTCCTAAACAGGGTGTTATGGGGTGTATCTGGAGCAGGGAGCTACAGGGCATTTCTGCAGTGCTGCCAAGGACCAAGTTCAAGGTTGGGTAAAGCGTTAACGTACAGAAATGACTGAAACTCCTTCTCCTACCTCGGATTTCTGTAATTCTCCCTGGATTACCAGCCTTCCGCCCACTGTCCCAGTGTTGGTGGTCAGCGAGCATCCCTTGCTGGTGACTGGGAGAGGGAAAACGGGAAGGTTTTGGGTTTTGAAACACCCCATTGCATCCTGTGGCGCTCCTGCTCTCGCCCCTCATCCCAACACAGCATCACTGAGCTGGAAGGAGACGCCTGGGGAGCTGTGCCCTGGGCTCGTGGGAGCGCTGCCGGAATCCGCCCCGCTGCTAAAAATAAACGGGCTGTGGTTTATTTACCTTGGAAAGGGAGCAGCAGGTTTTCCTGTGCCGGGCCCTCAGGCTGAGGCAGCACTTTTGCTCCGGAATCTCCTTTCCCAGGGGGCTGAGCTGCCCCTTGGAGGGTGGGCAGCAACGAGAAGGCTTGATGGGCGTTTTGGGGGCTGCAGCGATCGGGGCGAATGAGGCATCTTCTCCCAGCCCATCGCCCCGGGGTCGTACTTTTGCTACCTTTTTTTTTTTTTCCTTAAAAAAATAAAATCTGTGGAAGCAAGGGGCTGCTGTGCCCTCCGTGCTCGATCCATCCTCTCTCCCACAGCCATGAAAGCCGACCGCAAGCGCTTGAAGGGGGAGAAGACGGACCTGGTGAGCCAGATGCAGCAGCTGTACGCCACGCTGGAGAGCCGGGAGGAGCAGCTCCGGGACTTCATCCGCAACTACGAGCAGCACAGGAAAGTGAGTGTGGGAGCCACAGCACCCTGGTCTGGTGGCACAGGGGGCCGGCAGCGGGTTGAGCGTGAAACCTGGTTTGTAATCAGGCAAAAAAACCCTCTAAAATCCCAGCTGGACCGCGGCAGGTTAAGCCTGAGATTAGCTCAGTTAGTTAGAGCACAGTGCTAATAACGCCAGGGTTGTGGGTTTGATCCCAGTGTGAGCTTAACTCGATGATCCTTGTGGGTCCCTTCCAACTCAGAATATTGTGTGATCCTGTGAAATACTGGAGGGAATTGAGCCAGACGTGCGAAATCCCGTCTAATTTTAACAAGGTGCTCAGTGAGCATTGCTTTTTGGGGGACTGGCTGCATCCTGGAGCTCCCCAAAAAAGGGAAGCCATCCCTGCCGACGCGGGGCTCTTGTGATCCCAAAGGTACCGCTCGTGGTTGGGTGGTCCCTGAGAGTGTCACTGCAGAGGGGTTTGGGGTAGCACAAGGATTTTCCCTCCCTGATGGCCACCCCGTGTCCTGACAGGAGAGCGAGGACGCAGTGAAAGCCCTGGCGAAGGAGAAGGACCTCCTGGAGCGGGAGAAGTGGGAGCTGCGGCGACAAGCCAAGGAGGCGACGGACCACGCCAGTGCCCTCCGCTCCCAGCTCGACCTGAAGGACAACCGCATGAAAGAGCTGGAGGCCGAGCTGGCCATGGTGAGCTGGGGGGACTCATCCAGACCTGAGGGGCTGCTGCGGTGGCTGCATTACTGCAGTAATGGGAGGGGGGAAATTCCATCTCTAGAAAGGAGCTTGGCCTCACCTGGAATCCCTCACCTTGAGTCCTGTGTGCAGCTTTGGGCACCAAAGACATTATTAGGTAGCATCTAGAGGAGAGCCATGAGGACGGGGAAGGGTTTGGAGGGGAAGCCTTATGAGGAACAGCTGAAGGCAGTTGGTTTGTTCAGCCTGGAGAGGGGGAGACTGAGGGGAGATGTCACTGTGGTCTTCAGCATGCTCCTGAGGGGCAGTGCAGGTGCAGGTACTGACTTCTTCACTCTCATGACCAGTGACAGGACTCGAAACAGCTGGAGTTGAGTTGGGGAAGGTTTAGCTTGGATATCAGGAAAGTGTTTTTCACCCAGAGGGTGGCTGAGCACTGGAGCAGGGTCCCCAGGGCAGTGGTCACAGCACCAGGACTGTCTGAGTTCAAGAAGCGTTTGGACAACGCTCTTAGGCACGCGGTGAGATTGTTGGGGTATCCTGCACAGGGCCAGGATTTGGGCTCAGTGATCCTGATGGATCCCTTTCATCTCAGCATATCCTGTGGTTCTGTGATCCTTAGCACGGGCTGCAGCATAGTTTGGGTAATTACTTGCCGTGGGGCGGGTGGGTTTGGTGCAGTGCGTTGCTCCTTGTTCTGCTGCCCCAGCAGATGTTCACGGGGTTTTCCTGCTCCGTCACCATCACCTCGGTGTCCTCCCCCAGGCCAAGCAATCCCTGGCCACGCTGACCAAGGACGTCCCCAAGCGCCATTCCTTGGCCATGCCGGGCGAGACGGTGCTGAACGGGAACCAGGAGTGGGTGATGCAGGCTGACCTCCCGCTCACCGCCGCCATCCGGCAGAGCCAGCAGACCCTGTACCACTCACACCCCCAGCACTCGGCGGACCGGCAAGGTGGGCACCCCCTGGCTCAGGGCACGGGCAGGTCCTGGTTGCCAAACCCCTGCATGGGTACCAAAAAGCGGGTAAACCCCCCCCTCTCTAAATAACTTTTTAGAAGTGAAGCGGAGGTTTGCTGGCGTGATTTTAACTCCTCCCCTGCCTTGCAGCCGTCAGAGTGAGCCCCTGCCACTCCCGGCAGCCGTCCATCATCTCCGACGCCTCCGCGGCCGAGGGCGACCGGTCGTCCACGCCGAGTGACATCAACTCCCCCCGGCATCGAACACACTCGCTCTGCAACGTAAGGCCCTGTGTGGTGGTTGGGGAGGGGGGGGGGGGGTGCTTGCAGCGGGTCCTCCCCTTCCCAAAACAACGTTGGGTTTGGGGTGTGGGGCAGCCTGGAGCGTTGCTGGCCCGCAAAGCCGCTCTCCTGGGGTTTTAGCCCAGCCCCGCCGCAGTTCAGCTGCCCGAACAAGGTGCTTTTTTAACTGTGGAGGTGGGAGGGCTCAGGCTGTGTTGGGGCTGATCCAATGGATCTGTCTCTTTCTGCCACAGGGGGACAGTCCTGGACCGGTACAGAAGAACTTGCACAACCCAATCGTACAGGTAGGGCACGAATCCTCTCAGACCCTGCTCGTGAGAACCCCTCCTGCGCTAGAAAATAATTTGGGGGGGCTCAGAGGCACCAGTTTGGGGTCTTACAAAAAATGAATTGAAGTCATCTTGAATTGTGAGTCTTTGATGTCTCAGATTCCTGTAATTTGCCCCAAAGTCCATGTAATGCCTTAGGCATTTGCTGTGCTCAGGGCCCTTTGGGGTCTTGATTTTTGTAAGGCACAGGCAAAGCAGGTTATCTTCTGTTTTTGACCCTAAACCATTGGGATATTTTTTTCAAGCTGTGGACAGACCTTTGTTCTGATTTATTCCTGGAGCCAAAATCCTGAACAGTTGAGTTTAGCTAAAATCCCAAAAATGTGTGGGGAATGGGGGGGGGGGTGGTGTTTCAATTTTGCTGCAAATTCCACCACACAAGTTTCAGGAATATTATTTTATTTCAGTCCAGCACCTTAACGTTGCTCTGGACCTGGATGCAAATATTTTTTGGGATCTGGATGCAAATACTTTTCGGGAGCTGAACTCAAATATTTTTTGAGGGGCTGTGACCGTGTGGTCCATCATCCCCTGTGTGAGTGGGTGGGGAGGGACGAAGGAATCCCTGGATACCCAAACCCGTGTCCTCTCCTCCCACAGTCTCTAGAGGACCTGGAAGACCAAAAACGGAAAAAGAAGAAAGAGAAGATGGGCTTTGGCTCCATCTCCAGGGTGTTTGCCCGGGGGAAGCAGCGCAAGTCCCTCGACCCGGGGCTCTTCGACGGGACGGCCCCCGACTACTACATCGAGGAGGATGCGGACTGGTGACCCCCCCTGTGCCGGGCGGCTGCCACTGTACATATCCCCCACCTGTGGACGTGTTACCTGTTGTCTTGGGAGCGATGCAGCTGTGTCGTAACTTCAGTTTTTCCCCCTGTTTTTTTTTTTTCCCATGTTTTTGTTTTTTTTTTCATTTTTTTTCCCCATCCCGGTAACTCCTTTCGTTGTCGCTTCAGTTCGTCAGTTTTGGGGGTGTTTTTTTGTTCTTTGTTTTTTTGTTGTTTTTTTTTGTTGTTCTCTTCTCTTTTTCTTTTGACAAAACTTGAAACTTGAAGGACTGCTGTGTCTCTGTAAATACCAGAAATATTGTGCACTTTGTGCTTGTGACGTCTCTTGTCCGAAACCCGCTGTTTTCCGGAGCCCAGCCCGCGGGATGTCCTCGCTTGGGGACGAAGGACCTGCCCAGCTGAGGGACCTTAGAGGGGAAAACACACAAAAACAACAACATCATCAACAACAACAACAACAACAAAATCTCCTTCGCTGTGATGTCTTCCTGGCCGAGCACCCGGGCTGGTTGTAACGCCTGCCGGTCTGGAAATAAGTGTTTTAACGTTCCTTTTTAGTTGTTTTAATTTATTTGCACAAACCCAGAGGAGCTATTCTAACTAAATTATTGCAGAAGTTTTGGGATTTTTATATTTTTCCACGTCGGTTGGGATGGGGCGGGAGGAGGAAGGGGGTGTTTGTACTGTATTGTCCTGGGAAGCTGCTGTTGTGGGGGGGAGGAGGAGGGGGGAATTGGGGGGTGTCAGAGCCGTGGACCCCCCCCACCCTGGGCTCCCTCGGCTTCCCCAGGAGCACTTAACGCCTTGGAAAACCTAAATACGTGCCGGGAAATCAGACGGGAGGGGGTGGGGAAGCTGGTGAGGAGCTTTGCCCGCTGTTTTTCCCTGCTTTTTGGGGGCTCACCCTTTGCTTCAAGTAAAATTTAGGGGGATTTGGCACGAGCTGGGAGCAGGGGAAAGGTGATATCCCGAAATATCCCGTGTCCCTAGAAGTTTCCCCGACAGGGCCGACCACCCCTCTCCAGTTTGGGGTGTTACCGCTGCCATGGGGTGGGGTGAGGGGAGGGGGGAGAGTGGGGGAGAAATTGGTACGAATTCCTACCGGGGAGGTTTTTCTGGCTCTGGGGTGATTTTGAAGCACAGGTGGAGCTTGTGCTTCCGAAAAAATCCCTTGGAAATGCCCCAAAACCACACCCCCCCCCAACCCTCCCCCCACCGGCGCGGCGGCCGCTTCCCCTCCCCACTAACACGCGCCGCGCTCTGCTTATGCCAAGATAAGTACCTTATGCTTTAATGCTTATGATATAATTTTAAGCTCTTAAAAGGAAAAAAAAAAATGTATTAAGATTTTATTTAATGAACTATAATAGTGTATTATTTTTCTTAATTCCGATGGCGCGCGCCCTGGTTGAGACGGAAAAAAAGGGGTTTTTCGTCTTAAATCGCCGATGCCCTCGCGCTGTGTATTCCTGCTCGTGGGATGATGCAGAGAGGCCATGGAGGGGGTGTCAGAGGGACCAGCCCCCCCAGGCTCTTTTCTCTCTGCAGAGAAGCATTTTTATACGTTTTGTTGGGGTTTTTTTTTTGGGGGGGTTGTTTTGTTGGTTCGGTTTTTGTTTGTTTTGTTTTCTTTTTTTTTTCTGGTTCTTGCGTTTTTATAATTTAAACTCTAAACCACCCGAAGAGATGAGCAATCTCCTTGTTACCGAGTAGTTTCCTTTGCATTTCAGCTTTTTTTGTAAATTAGGAAATAATTCTAAAAATTACTAAGAGGATGATTTATTTAAAAGAGAACTTTGCTAAATAGCATATGAATTATGGGTAACATTAGAGTTAACTTTTCCCCCCGTGAGCGGGGGAGAATCCTTGAAGGCATGGATGCAAATATAAAATTATAAAAGATCTAAATAAAGCTTATTTTAAAGTACAGATGAGGCTCCACGTGGTTTAATTGCTTGGCAGATGGAGAGCCCGGGCTGGTTGTTGGCATCGGGGTGCAGGACACCCTGACTGCCACGTGAATTTGGGGGGCTCCAGGGTGATGGGGGGATGCAGGAGAAGCTGGACCAGCTTGCCAGGCTGCACCTGGATGCAGTGATCCTGGCAGGAGGCTGGGACAGTCTGCATCCCTATAAAATTGGGGTTTCAGGGGTTTGAGGTAAGTAAAGAAGTGGGAATGAGGGGGACAGCCAGGAGATGTCCCCCTCGTATACAGAAGGACAAAGAAAAGCAGAAGGGATGGAGAAACAAGAAAATGTCGTACTCTTTTATTAATGGATAAATTATTGATATTAATTTACAGATTGATAAATCATTATAATAATATATAACTCTAGTTATAATAATAAATTTATATTATATAAATAATAAATAATAATTATTATTCCTTTTATTATTTGAATTACATTAGTCACTTGTAGGGCTGTGCCAGCACTGCAGAGGGGCCTGAGACCCTTTTGAAGTCAATCTGTGTTTGCCAGAGCAAAGACAACTTGCAATGATTTTCTCTTTCTTTGAGCCCATAATGAGGGTACAGATGAAGAGATGTACCTTTTCTTCTTTTTTTTTTTTAAACAGAAACAGCCTTCTGGGTTTGGGACAAGCTGCAGAGCAGGTAAGAGCCACCACAGTCTGAAGTGGAGAGAGTTGGAGCAAAGAAAAACTGGAAAAACTCAGGAGAAGCCAGCTGGCTCTCCAACAGCTGGAATCGAGCATTAATGGGAATTAAATGTGGCATTAAAGGGTAACTGCTGAGCACGGCAGACATGAGCTGGGCACAGACAGGGGTGGGATTTGCTGCATTTGGAGCAATTCCCTGCAAATATTTGGTGTTTCCCTTCATGTATGGGGTGGGGTGTGGGTGCTCATCCATCCCATCTGTGGTTTTAAAAGCTTTGCCCTTTGGGAGCCAGGAATGGGGCAGAGCTGTGGGTGTCACTCCAGTCCCGGCAAGGCTTCTGCTGTTCACCAGTTTTGTCCCAGTGCCATGGGGACCGTGCTGGACCCTGGGGAGGGGGCACGGGTGTCACCTCCTACTCCAGAGCCGTGGGGGACCTCATTCCCTGCATCTGGGAGTGATGTCCTGGGCTGAGGTGTGGGGGGGTCTTCTTGGTGGCTTTGTCCCTCCCAACCTGCATTTCCCTGGCAGTGGAGGCTGCAGCATCCCCCTCGCCTTGCCTCATCCCTGCTGCATTCCCTCAGTGAGCGTCATCCCTGCTCCATCCCCGCTGTGCTGGATGCTGCGCTGCTGCCACCGTGTGAGCAGTCCCCGAGTTTCCACCGCCACCCGTGTCTGTTTGTTTTAGGTGTGACTCGCCGCGCTGCTGCACTTTGCACCGAGCGCGTTGCTGTGCAGGCGCTCCCGAGCGCATTTTCCCCCCCGTGAGGACTTTAGACCGGGAAAGGCAAACATCTCAGGGCCTGGCACGGGGTGTCGTGTCGGTGGGATGCGGGGTATCCCACAGAGGGGGTCACCCCGGGACTCCAGCACCCCTTTGCTGGTGTGTAAAACAGCCGTGCTGGTCCTCACACCGCCTCTGGTGATGTCACAACCCGAGCCGTGTTTACCTGCCGTGCCACGGCCGTGCACCCACCCCATAGGGAACATGTGGGTCAGGAGGGGGGTTGAGAGGTCACAGCAGGTAAACAGGGCTGAGTCTGGGAGGTTTCCTGCCTTGGCACTGACTCAGCCCATGCCTTTAGTAGGTGATCTCACCTCCCCGGGCTAGATTTTTGGTGATAAAGAGCTAAACTGGTATACACCAGATGGCTGAGTAAATCATCAGGAGGTTGGTGGGGTTTAAGGTGGGGTCAGTCACAGAGTATGGGGTGATGGTGGTATCTCCCCAAACGCTGGTGTCAAGGGCCACCATTGAGGCTGTTGGTTTATTGCTCAGAATTGCTGGAATTCGGGAATGTGCCTGTCATTAATTCACCCATTTTCAGTGTTTTCCCAGAAGGTGTCTTCTAGTGGTGCTGCTTAATGTGTATGAAGCCAATGCTGAAAGTATCTTTGAGTCCTCGCCTGCACAGCCCAGGGAATGCCCGAGAGCATCCTTTGATGCAGTTATCCTTTGGGATATCCTGCTCTGCCACTGTCCCTGCAGCTGTCCCCACATCAGCCCCTGCCCTTGGCTTCCCATTTCCCCGACCTGACACTGCCACAAGCACCTGCAGCAGCACAGACCAAGTGGCTCCGCTCCATCCAGCCGGGACACCAGACCTGTGATCAGGCCCCGTATCCAGGTAGGAAGGTTTCCTTGGAGTTTTATCATCGCTGGTGAGTGGTTTCCCAGCATTTCCCCATTCTTGGGCACAAGCCCTCGCTCACCATCTGCTCCTAATTCTGAAAAGCCACACTAAATATCTGCTCAGCTTTTTTTTTTAATACCCACCTGCACGACACCACCGGAGCTCTTCTCTCCCAGCCCTGTTATCCTCAAACCCTGCATCTCCTATTCCCAAGTCCCTGACCAAGGCAGAGTTTCCCCAAAGGGATGCAGCAACCCCTCCCACCCCACCACCCCCCCCGGGTCGGCTCCAGGAGGAAGCAGCAGGTTACTGATTATTCTCGCTGTTAAACACAGCAGCTTTATTTACGCTGTTTTCCAGGTTGCAGACGTGCGTGTGCTTGAAATGCAGACGGTGACCTGGCACGGTGGTTGAACTGGTTGTACTGGAACCGCCGTCCCTCAGCGCCACGTCCCGGCTCCGCTCCTGGCCGGGAGATGCCGGCAGGTCACACCCTCCCACCGGGAGCCCCGCGGAAATGCCTCCCGAGTGGCTGGTTTTCCTCCTTTTTCCCCACTTGCACGGCAGGTTCCCAGCCTGCAGCCCCGGCAGGGACTCTCTAAATTGAGGGGTAGAAACTGAGGCATGAGGAGGAGAGATACCAGTAAAGACCAGTGTGTGTGGGCTGGGCTGGGAACTGGGATCTGAGGGAGCTCATCATGGAGCAGGCTGGGATGGACTCTTATCCTGGGGGCAAAGCTGGGGCTCTCCCGTGTTCCATTATATATAACATTATATTTATATACATATTGTATTTCTGGTGCTAATTAGCTCCTAAGTCTCTCTTTAATCATAGAATTCTGGTTTCAGTTGGAAGGGACCTTAAATCTCATCCAGTTCCACCCCCTGCCATGAGCAGGGACACCTTCCACTATCCCAGGCTGCTCCAAGCTGCATCCAACCTGACCTTGAACACTTCTAGGGATGGGGCAGCCACAGCTTCTCTGGGCAACCCCTGCCAGGGCCTCACCACCCTCTTCCTATTCCTTGCTATCTAATCTGGATCTAAATAGATATTCTAATCCTAATCCAGACAGATATCCTTCCTCATCACCCTCTTCCAATTTCTCCCTATCTAATCTAGATCTACCCCTTGTCCTATCACTCCATGGCCTTGTAATATAACAATATCATATAATACACACGTGCAGTTTGGTGGCTCTGCTGACCTGACTCTCAGGGATGGGTTTTCCCTCTTTCAGGACAAGCCATCCAGCTGCAGGTGTCCAGGAGCAGCGTGTCAGCCACAGCAGTGCTTTTGGCTCGCTGTTGGAAAGGTTTGGAAGAATCCTGGGATATGGCTGGGCTTTCAGTGATGACTTTAAAATACATGCTGAGCGCTTTTGAGCAGGAAAAAGCAGGGAAAACTGCCAGTGAGCAATTTCTGCCTCCAAGGCAGGGTAATGTGAGCCCCTGGCACCTCTGCACGTACCAGGGCATCAGATGCCCTTCTGAAAGGCCCTTTTGTTACCTGCTGGTGGGTCCAGTGGGGTTTCAGTTCCCCCCTTGGCATTCTTGTGCTCTGTATCCTGCATATCTGGCTGGATAAACACCCTGGAGAGGTCCCAGCCTGCCCTGGACTGGGCAGGGAGTGTTTGCAAGGGGAGGAGTTGAGCTGCCATAGATAAATCCCCACACTGGGATGGCTGCTGGAGCTGGAAAGGCGAGACCAAGAGATGGATGTGAATGTGTTATCCCACAGAGGAATGTGCAGAAGGGAAAGGCAGGTGCCTTAGCAGCCATCCAAGGGGTCCAAGTGAGCCCCTCCCGCCTTGATCCTGCTCCACTGCCACTGAAAAGCCCATTTCTGGCCAAAATTCAGCTTTGTGGAGTGGGAACCTGAGGAGCCAAGTTATGAATGTCCCCTCTGTGCTCACGGTCTCCAGGGCCTCTCTGCAGGGGGGGTGACCTGGCTCAGAGCTCTCCCTGCCCCGGATTGAGGGCAGTCAGTGTGTGAAGTCCATGTTCCCCCCCGCTTTCTTACAGAGCAAATAATTCCCTGTTGTGTCTCCTGACTGACAGAGCTGCTTGGGATGACGGGTCTGTGTTTGACACAGGGAGGTGGGGCAGGAGAGGAGGAAATTTGCCTGAAGTGGAGTGAATTTGCCTGAGCCGGCGGCCAAGCCGGAAAATGCAAAACGATCCATAAGGGGGGGAAAAAAAAATAAAATATGCAGTTACGCTTAATAGTTATTTCTTTTTATAGGACAACTCTTGGAATTGCTCTTTGATTAGAGGAGGAAGGTATCGCTGCCGTGCGCCGGGGCAGGTGAGTCACTGGAAAATACCACCGGCTCCACGCGGGATTGTGCTGGGAGGGAGGGATGCAGGGAAGCAGGGGGGGGCTTTCCCAAGATTCCTGAACACCGGTGGCCCCGAGGCAGGGCTGCGGTGCGCTGAGTCACGCCAGGAGATGTGACAAGTTTCGTTGGGTTCGTGATGGCTTTTGCCTTCGCAAGGACTTGCAGGGCTTAAGGGACAGGAAAAACTGCAGTGGCTGGTCCAGCAGCGTAGTAATGTGGCCTCTTCACTTGGAGAGGGGAAAAACCCACCCTGAGTGTCATCTATGACAGAATTTGAGTCCTTGGTGGTGTTTATTATTATGGCTGGGTGTGAGAAGGGCCTGGAAAAATGCATCC